TCATTTGTTACTAATAGGCTCCTGTGTGGCAGTGGGATATGATGGCTGCTGCAATCCGCAGTCAGGTGTCATATGCTATGGATCAAGTGGTCCGCAGTGCTATTGTGATGAACTCTGCTTTACTTATAATGACTGTTGCCCTGATGTTGCTGCTATTGGCTGTTTGGGTAAGCTGCTGACACACAGAAATACTACAATTATAACTATAGATCTAATAATAAGCTACAAATCCTGCTTTTATAGCTAAGAGCTAAATAAACTTATACTTGATCCATCTCTTTCTTCCCTTAGCACCTACTGTTAGCCCAACTGTCAATCCAGGAGCTGGTAAGCTATTCAAATAGTTATGCAAGCATAGATATACTTAATGGTTGCTTCTTTAAGGTTCTTGCATAGCTGCTGGTCATTTGTCATGCTGTGTACGATCCTCCTCCAACACATGCACTGGTAGCAATGGACTCTGCTCCTGCAGTGCTGACTGTTATGATAGTGGGAACTGCTGCAATGACATATCTCAAATTGGATGTGGTAAGAATTGTAGTATACATTAGCTATAAAAATAATTGTAAATAATGGGGCTGTCACAGAAATTAGTTCCGTGACCCCAGACCAATAATTTTGGTCTCTTGACTAAATTTGGTTCCAAAAAGCTAAAAGCTTAAAACATTAAAGTATAAAATCAATGTTAAATCAACAGACAACTTAATTACAATATTTTTTATTGATTTCTAGCTACTCCAACTCCAACAGATAGTCCCTGTACAGCAGCAGGATATAATCAGTGTTGTCACCCACAGATTTATAATGGCTCTTGTTCTGGTAATCCACCCATCTGTTACTGTGATCAGCTCTGCTTTTCTTTTGGTGATTGTTGCAGTGATGTCACTAATATTGGATGCATTGGTAAGCTAATTATTATACTTAAAAGTCAATGACATTAATCAGTAGTATTAAATTAAAATAACTGGAATAATGCATGACATGATTTTTCTACACAACATAAGTACATGTATATGTATCAGAAAAATTATAAAAATGGAGAGTTTTCTCCCAGCCATTGTTGGCAAAATGCCATGTACTATATAGCCCATGGTTTTTCAAAAAATGAGTCTGAAATCATCCCAAATTTTTATTACATTTTCTGATACTTATTGATGTTCTTATGTTGTATAGAAAGTTTAAGCTGATTCGAAGTTCAATTTTTAAATTTATGGCCATTTTAAGAAAATGCCAAAATTCTGAAAAATACCCAAGGCTATAGCCCATGGTTTTTTCAAAAAATGGCTCCAAAATTACCACAAACTTTTATTACATTTTCTGACATTTATTGATGTCCTTATGCTATATATAAAGTTTGAGCTGATTCCAACAAATAATTTTTGACTTATGAGCATTTTAAAATCTGAAAAGCCCTGCAGATACCTCAATGAATACCAATGATATTCAATGGTATACTAGTATTGTGATTCATAATTTAACTTTTTTGTTTCTAGAGCCAAGTGTCATACCTCCTGCCCCTAATGGTAAGTCCATTAAGTAAATATCTCAAAAATACCAATTCATTTAGGATCGTGTGTTGCAAAGTATCCAACTTGCTGTCAGCCATCAGCAAATAACACATGCCTGGGCTATCCAAGTAACTGTTACTGTGACGCACAGTGTCACAACTATGGTGACTGCTGCGACGATATTGCTGACATTGGCTGTGACAGTGTTCAAAGTTCTTGTGCGGGATACACCTCGTGTTGCGTTGATGAGGACTTGACTTGTGTTGGTTATCCAGAGCCAAATTGCTACTGTGATCAAGCATGTACTCTAAGAGACGACTGTTGTTATGATCAGAGTCAACTAAAGGAATGCACTGAACCAACAAGTCAGTATAACACGTCTCACTATCCTTTTAAACTATCTTAAAGTGGAATATTTTACTGCCTTTATTATTTAATTTCTAATTTTTTACATGTTTTTAATTTTACAGTTTACATGTGAGCTACTATACATTAATATATAAGCAAAAAAAATTTACTGCCTTTTAATTTTACTTTTTTCTTTTATTGTAAAATTAAAACCACCTTAAAATATTCCACTTTTGCAGTACCAGGGTATATCTATTCATTGTTTCAATAAATATAACAAGCATTATTGATACTATTTTTCTATTAATTTATTTATTTTTAACATACAGTCCCGGGACCTGTTAACAATTTGATGGCAATGTCATCTGGTCCAAATTCCTTCTATGTGATGTGGGATCCGCCCACGCACCCTAATGGAGTCTCCCATTACATTATTAATGTCAGTAATTACTCTGGAGAGGGAGATAATAGGCTCAGAGTTCAGCTAACCATACAAGTACTTGAGGAAATAGTCACTCAACTCTGTAAGGAATTATAGTATATTACTATTGGCATAGTAAATAATTATGAAGTGAATGATTTCCTCTCTTTCTAATTAAATTAGAAAGAGAGGAAATCATTCACTTCATATCCTTCCATATATTAATGTACATGCTTTATTTATAGTGCCTTTCAAGCCTTACAATGTAACTGTGTATGGAATAAACATTGATGGTAAAGGCATTCGAAGAACTGTCATCAACTTCACTCAAGAAGGAAGTGAGCGCATTTAGTATGTTAAGCTTATTTTATGCATCATGTTCAATAGTACCAACACAGGCTCCTGATAATGTAAGGATTACACGCTCTGGTACTACACTCACTGTATCCTGGAGCCCTTTAAGTCTTGAGGCAGCAAGAGGCTTCCCGATGTACATGGTCCAGTATTTTCCTTCAACCAATTTAAACCAAATAGTGACACTCAATACAACAGGGACCTCAGTAACCATCAGTAATGTCAATGCTAGGATAAGTTATGGTGTTAAAGTAGCTGCTTTCACAAAAGGAGGTGTAGGGAGCTTAAGCAAGACTGCTTATGAAGGAGGTGAAAATAAAAATGTAGTGAATTAATTAAATGAGTAAATGCAAGTATAACTGTAGCACATGTCTTCATTGCTAGAATGATGGTTTTAAGAGTTTTGTATCTTTTCATGATAGGGTTGTCCAGCCCCAGGTCTCATATTAGCGTTTCACTGGTTGTTGGTGTCATTGTTGGTGCTGTGGCTGCTCTTGCTGCAATCACAGTTGTTGTATTTGTTGCTCTTCTGTTATTCAAAAGAAGAGGGAGGAGAAGGTATAAAAGCAAACACTCTCACACACACAAACCCACAATCAGTACATGTAAAGTAATAATGAATAATTAAACAATAATTAATTGCAATTCACATGGCCCCTAATAATGGCTACCCATGCCAAGCCCACACTTTGTCTCCAGTACAGGGCAGTACTGACTAACCAGGCCCATACTACACTCCCAGAGGAACTAGATGTACATGTAGGTGAGTTACCATCTACAAACAAAGACCATATCCACAAACCACAGAGCCTACACCAGTTTTACACATGCATGTACATGTGCTACACAAACTTGGCATCAGCCTATAAAACAACTCTAAACTACAAGGATAACTTAAAACTTAGCTGACCTGATTGAAGTGGATTTGGCGGAGTAGGGAGAGTTGGGTACCCGAAAAAACGTTTTAACCTGCCACATCTGGTTCTCAAGCCCAGACTGCTGGCATGGTCCCTTCGGACTTCGGAGGGTCATGTGACAAAAACCACACCTCTAACCACAATGAATAGCATGTATCAACAAGCAACAATAATGGTAACAAAAATTAATTAGTAGCAAATGTAGCCAAACCACATAAACAGAACTGGGGCAAAAGACCATCTGAGGCGACCTTATGATGGGTGGGAATCACGGGCATTGACAAATCATTTCAATCCTACACACAAAGGCTAATGTGGTATGGCTTAATTAAGACTGTTGTAGCCATAATGTCTAGACTTCAGTTACATAGCGTAGCCTTTGTGTCTGTTAAGTCAACTATTATTATTATGTAACTAAAATAATATTGCAATTATTCTCAATAGTGGCTCATACAAGTTCAAAAAGCTTTTGACTACAGCTACAGCTAATGATGACTATGATGATGGAGACGATGATGATCACGACTCTTATGATGAATAAGGGAAAAGGTTTTTATAACACAACTTCTTTACTTTATTATAAATTTGCACACTAATTTTGCCATTTTATACCCACACATTTCTATATTATTTTGCTGCTGGTCCAAAAATATTTTAGATAATTACTGTTAATAAGTTGATGTTGATAGCTTGTTTATAAGTTAATAGCTCTCTAGTCTATAATAACAACAATGAATATTAAAGGAAATTGACCATTTATGAGTGTCAGTATGATTATCGACTATGAAAGTGTGTAGGTACTTACATTGGACATTGAAATAGGCTGCTGTATGAGCACTGTTTGTAGCATCAGTGCACAAAATAACTTTTTAAAATAATTTTGGTAATAGATAATGCTTTTCCTGTACTATATAGTATAACTTTTCTTGTGATATGTTTCCCAATAACAACACTACTCATAACAAATAAAATACCATGACATCTACAAATGCAAGTTGTACTACAAATGACGTGTCATGTTATTTTAGCCACACAGGTTAAAAATACAATTGCCATAAAAGTAACTTGTTACCATACAAAACTTAATTATCCCAGATAATTAGATTAGACTAATGCTTTGGCATGCTGCAAGCACTGCATGCGTAGGACTACTCAGCAAGTAAGTACATACCAATAATAACTTATGAGTCATCATCGCTTATTATGAGTAAGATTGGATAAAATAGTGCTATTAACACTGCATTTGCTAATCAGTCTCTGAGTTGAAATGGAAGGGCTGCTCAAGGCACTTCTTGTTCTTTGCTTTATAGCTACATGCAATGGATCATGCTCAGATCTTGATCTTGGGAATACTGGCTGCTGCACTTTATTTGATTGTCAAAGCTCTACAGATCACTGCTACTGTGACCAGTCATGCTATACCTACAATGACTGCTGTCCTGATATTACAGAGATTGGCTGTTATCCTTATCAAACTACAAGTCAGTC